ATGGCTGTGACCTCCATACAGCTCTTTTGTCAAGTGCCATTTCATTAAAAAATCAGCCTTTTAACTGTGGACACATTTCAACCTCACCAAATCTGCTAATTATTGACAGTTGGTGAAGAGGAGATTTCACTTGTTCCTCCTGTTAAACTGCATCTAATTAGTAATTACTGGTTCACTGTCATCTTTACTGCAATAATCCCACTGCACATTGGCTCATTAACCTTTTGCTTTTCTAAAGCAGCCTGCCAACAAGATGAAGGCTAAAACAGATTGGAAAACAATAGCTCAGCCTTGGATTTTAGGCTGTTTATTCCCCTTGTCCTGGAGATCCAAAAGGAAGATTATTTTTAAGAAAAGGCTTTCAGCTGAAATCAGCCTAATTCCGGAAGATGGCTTGTTTTGCCCTAACCAGCAACCGAGGTCCTTTAAACTTAACCCGTGGTGAGGGCATGTGTATTATAGCTAGCGGAAGGGTTTCCTCTGCCACCAGCTCTTGCTTCGGCTCCATTCCTCACCTGGGTTTATCCTTCTTTATCAGCACGATCCAGCACACTGGGCATGGGACGAGGCAAGTTTGGGTGGGTTGGCAGCACCCTGGAAGTTGAACAGCATCCTCTTGGATGCTGAAAAATGAATGATCTGGATGAGCAGGGACCAAAGGGTAGAAAATCAGTGGAGCAACCCCATGGTTATTTCTTTTGCTGCTACACTGAATTTCATTTGCACAAGTCCCATTTTCAGTTTGGAACTGTCACAGCTGTTTCTATTGGCAGTGCATAGCTGAGTAGGAGTTGTCAGTGGGGATGCTGTAGGATAGGCAGCTCGAAAAGAGATTCCCCGGGGGGCATGGGAGGCAGTTGGAGGTTGTGGGCTAAATGCATTAACTAGATGTTTCTCCTAAACTTAACAGCAGTGAATTACTTAATGCATATTGATGCATTTAGGTACCGGAGTTAACACTATATCGGGATGAAAAGTGAATTTCGCAGCGCCTTAAGCGTGCTTAGTCTCAAGGACCCAGGTCTTTGTGGCTGACACTAGGGTTTTATTTTTATAAGGTGATCTTCAAAGCCATAACATCTAGAAACAAGCTGTAATTCTGGAGCACTGTTGCAGACATCAGTGGATTCCATCTGTACAAAAATCAAGGAAGGTATGAGGTCTTCGCTAGACTACATACCAACCAAAGAGAAGATCTGGATGCATTATCCTTCCCAGCACATGAAGGTTGTTCAGCTCCAAAATTTTCATTTAGCTGATACTGGTGTTCCTGTATGCAACCAGAGCTGAATTCTGATTTCTCTTATGTTACTTTAAACCAGGTATAACTCTGAAGCAGCTACAGCTGATGCGATAAGGTGGCTGCATTTATCTAGCACATTTATTAGATCTATTGCAGGGCTTCAATTCTGCTTGAAAACTAATTGTAAGTTTGAGCCCCTTTAGAAGAGTGGATCAAAGGCGGCTAGTCAAGCTCCCATGCTAAAACAAGTGCTTAATAACACATCAGCTTCTGTGTTTGCTCTCTGACTAAAGAAAAAGGACTGTGAATGTGTGATTAAGGGCAGAATTTGGCTCATTTACAATTCCTGAAAGGGTTGCTGCTCAGACCATAATCATATTTTTGGAACAGAACACACCTATTACATCTTGTTGTTAGTAATTTACTCCCTGGGTAGCGCTCATTACAACAGCATCATCTCAGTCGTGTTATGCTCATAGCTGCTTCACCTACTGCGGTTATGAGAAAAAGCAAATACATGCATACATATATACACGTGCATATACATATAAAGAGGTCAATGTTCAAACACTCAAAAGTCTATTAACTTAGTTATCTGATAAGTTCATGGACCAGTGATGAGTGACCAAGGAGCGACATGTTTTGAGAAACGCTCTTTGCAAGGAAACTCAGATTTCCTATCCAAGACTGTGAAGAAACGGCTCTGGAGAGATTGTTTCAGATAAATCACTTGCTCTGCTCACTTGAGCATCCCCACAGTCACTGACCACTGAGAAAGTCTCAATGAGATTTTGCAGAGGGGGAGGAACGCCCTTTATACACACACCCCCACATATTTATAATGAATGTAAACATAACTGAAAGACTGATCGGACCAGACTGCTGCAGAGAACTTGATTCCTTGGTGTTAACTGATGTGAGGTCCAGCTGTGCGCATGGAGCTAACTCCAGCTGAGCGGAGCCGAGACCCCAGTAGGTAATGAGCTATACCACCAGCTGTAATGGTTTCTCTTCGTTGACATGAAGCGTGGGCAGAGAGCACGTCATTCTGTTTGATCTACTAATCAGCGCTGATTCATGTTTACACTGCAGATAACATTTCATCTGCTTGTAGAAGGTCATTTTCAAGTGATGCTGTACGGCTTCAGTATTGCCTGATGCCTGCAATTTGAATATCCCCTGAAGGAAGCCAGACCTTAATTTTCCTTGTGGGCTAGAATTCATTCAGCCGTTAGCATCAACACATTTTCTCAAGCTGCAATATCAGACACTATACGTTATAAATTATCTGTCACCCATAAAGCTATAACACAAAAGGCAAAAAGACCTTGTGAGCTTCATTCTTAGATAAAGAAACTATGGCAATGAATAATTATTTTTGTAGAGCCCAAAGTGTTTAACTCTGAATGCCTCAGATTCTGGTACCAAAACTTTAGTTCCCACTGACCTTAGCAGGCGCTTACTATTTCAGAGAAGCCTGTGCTAAGTGATGCCTGCAGAAAATACTGGAAACGTACAAAATGCGAAATTTCAAAACAGAATTGTAGGCTGAGTTTCTCGTCTATGTTGAAAGAACTGCTTGGTTTGACTAACGCTATTAAACATGTCCATTGTCAGTGAGAAGGGAGAAAATACACAATGATGGCCGCTTAAGGCTTGAGATGACACAAAATCTGGGAAAGCAGTAAATAACTAAGAGCCCAGGTCACTGATACAGAGGCTTCTAGATATGTGGAAAAGAAGTCAACGTGCAACATACTATGGTCAAACATAAAATTGCCTCTGGACGCAAATAGTGTACCTATGGCACGGGGCACCATTTTGGGAGAATGGTGGCAATGTCACCTTTGGGGTAAATGGGGTTGGTGGTACCTCTTGTGGTCTTGCTTCCCTGATTGCCTTGAAACAAGACCTCCCAGGAAAGGCCATGGCTTTCTGGTGGGTGAAACTCCTTTCCCTGGAAATAGGAGCGTAAGGGATGCTCTATGTCCAAGTCTCCTTCCAACAGGAACTTCAGACATACTCTGGGCATGTACCTTGAATGGGTGCGAGACCTGGAAATACTCCTCAGAGTTTCATAACCAAAACCTATAAGCAGAACTTAGGATCACAGCAAAAAAACTGATGGACAAGGAGCTAAGGTTGAGCTCGTGCCAAAATGACTAACACGCTCTGTGGATGTATGAATTCAAGTAGAAGCAGGCAAATCGCATTGCTCCTGCAACTGGTACTTGTGCAACTTCTTACTGGAATACTGTGTCTGGTTCTTATGGAAGTGCTCCAAAAAGGATGTTGACTAATTAGAAAAAGTTTAAGGAAGAGCCATATGAATCATTAAAGCTTCAGAAAACACGTCTTTTAGCAAGAGACTCCAAGATTGAGATATATTCAGTTTCTTAAAAAGATTAAGGGACAGTTTTATCTCAGCCTGTAAACCGCTACAAGGACAACAAAAAATTTGTAACACGTTTTTCAGTCTAGCAGACAAGTGTACAACAAGATTCCCTGGCTAGAAGTCATGGATAAACCCATCCAGACCTAAAAAAATGAATTAACCAGTAGAGCCTGTGATACCAGTTTCTGATCAACTGTTCTAGTTGACACAGAAAGAACTTCAGCAAAGTCCTTGGCTCTGTTTGATAGAGTTTTTCCCGCTTTATAATAGTGACCCTCCCTGTAAATGTACAAATTTACAATCTGCCAATCTATGAGCTCCAAACACTGAATGGTCAAAATTAATGACTTAGAAAAAAATACACCTTAGTAATTTGTTCAACTAACTTAGGTATGAGTGATTTCATTAGTCATTCTGCCTTTTTCCTTGGCTAGTTTTCCTCTGTTCACACCCAGGTTGTGTCTTCCCAGAGCCAGGCTAGATGATGAAAAGGCAGAAACTCTCAAAGAAGCTCTGGGACAGTACATCCACATCAAATGTGTATCCCAGGCTCCTTGCTTAATGGACAAAGACCTGTTTTCGCTGCGTTAACACCAATGGTGTTCACCATGGTGAGCTGAACCATGTTCTCCCTGGTTCAGCTCAGCTCTGACTAAGCTCACATCCCCAGATAAGACAGGACAAACCCAGCTGGAGTCTTAGAGCAGAAGTCATCAGTCAGGAGCACCAACATCCCTTGACTTTTGACGTGACCAGACCTGACCCGGGTGTCACTGAAGAGGGACCAGATACCCTCCGTGCTGAGACACCCCTCTGACTGGCGATCAAGCAGGCAGAACATTATCCTCATACATTTAAAAAAATGCCTTATTCCAACCTGGTTGTCCCCCTGATCCCTGGTGTTTTGATTACTGTACAGTCTAAATGTCCTCCACACGGGAGAGGCCTGGAGCAGGCCACCCCCGTGGGAGAACACGGATGCGATGGAAGGGAGGACGATCACACATGACCATCCCTTAGCCTAAAAAAGGGGCATTTTCTGGGTGGAACCAAGGTTCCTCTGCTCGGTTCTTCCTCTGTTCGCTTGGAAGCTACATCCCACCACATGACCCAAACGCTGGTTAATAGCATAGAAAAGCTGTGTGATATTAACCTATGCTAGCACGCACTAACAGGAGGGACTACCAGAACCATCACCTGCCCAATCTGTGCTTGTTCAAGTGAAGAAGACAGCAATCAACTTCATCCAAAAATGGCAGAGGCCCCATAGGAATGAGACTATTATCCAGGAAGGCAAAACAAGCAGTGGCGTTGGTAAGCCCCTCTGAGATATCCCACTGAAGTGACCAGACACGTACTGACCTCAGACATCTGCGGGAAGAGGCTGATGGCCAAGGGGAGGGCCAGGCCAAAGGCAGCGAGGCACACGAGGCTTTGGACTGGGAGAATCATCCGGGGACGGGACCTCAGAAGTGATGTTCTGGAAAGGAAAGGCTTCGTTAGACCATTTCATAGACCAGGTGAGTGCATGTCATCATCAGAGCGGACACTGGTGGCCACCCAGACCCACCAGTCTCCCTCTCCCTAACTGGTCTACGTTCCTTTTTAGTAGGTCATCAACAAGTTCACCCACAAAAGATCCCGAGTCCTGCACACCGTGCTTTTGCATCTGCTGCGGTTACACAGCCCATGCCAACCTAAGCGCTCACTTCTCCTAAATGAAAACAGGATCACTTCACACACGCTTCCCCCCATTTCAAACCATCTCTCGTTGGAGTAAACGGCACACGAGGTGATCTGGCCGCACGCAGGTGTCACCTGCATTAAGGCTTTGGAGGCTATGTTGAGTGAGCAGAAGGAAATTAGGTTCTTGAGAGACGTTGTGAACTTTGTCGGTCCTATCACGCAGAAACAGGCACACGACTTTGTTAATGGGGTAATAAAGCAGTAAACTTGACAATATCTTAATTTGTTAAAAATCAAACATCTGCGGAGTGGGTGATAAGGATGCTTTAACACTTGCTGTCCCCAGGGGATATTTATGAGTTCAAGACTTGTTAGCAGCAAACACTTTAAGGTACCTGCAAGGTCAGGTTCTGATAATGACCCATTAAGTGACCCTTCTGATGCAATTAACACCAAATGACAGGGACAACATTTAGCTGGTAGAAGGTGGCATGTTGAGTATATTCCAGGATATAGGACCTCAGATGATTTACAAATGTTAAGCGGAAAAATGTAATTCTTGAGGGCTTTGTTCTGGAGCTATTTACACCAAAAGGACACCTGTCATTCAACCTTTTTTCTACTAATCTGAAAGAACTGGGAGTATAAACCAGCAACTTGATAGTGAGTTTTGTTTGAATATTCAGCGCATATCAGCAATGTAGAGTCGGCAGATTCGCTGACAGCTATGGCCGTAGTCCCAACGTGCACCTCTCCTCTGTCCACCCTGATCTTGAGGCTGCCGATGCCTCACGGTGTCCTGCAATCAAACATGGGCAAAGATCTGCTAGTTAATGCCTTTCCGCTGGGGTGATAACACAGGAGCTCTCTTTTGGTCAAGGGAGGTACAGTCAGATTACACGAACCGCTAAACATCACTGTGGTTACCGTCACCGGGGTTTTAAAAAGCATTTCTAATCCAACGCGCACCATTCACGAGGTGCCCACCAAAAACAAGGCAAGCAACCCTTCCCACATCGGGGCATGCCGCTAGCCGGCTCCAGCCCACGCACAAGTGATTTTGCAGGCGCATCTCCCCGTGCAGCCCGTGCCTGCAGCCAATGCAAGATAACAGATTACCTCAACCCCCGTCTACTCCACGTTTACTGCAGGCTACAAACACGCACCTGATGAATTATAACAGAGCAGCTGATGTGTGGGAACTTGTTACCCTGCTGTACGTTGTCTGTGTGTCTGAACATTCAGACTCTTCGCCCTTTGCTAGCAATGCTTGCTGAAAGCTGTCTTCATCTTGAGAAGGTTTGGGGGAAGTGGGGAAGGAAAACAAGATCCAGAGCCTTAACTCCTCCAATATCTCAGCTCCTCACTAATAAGCTATCGAGACGGAGTTGATCCTATCAATTTGTGCTGTGAAAGCCAAGCTTCTGTTCTCCAATATTTAGCTACTTCATTTTGCATAGAACACAATCTAACCTAAAAGACTCCTGCAGAAGTGAACAAGGATTTTGTCCGAGTCAGGAAAGCAGGTTACCTTGCTCCACGCTCTTTAACAAATACAACGTTCAAGAATTGTCATCAATAAGCTGTGATAAGTAGTCCCCGGGATGCAGAGGGGCAACTCCTGGAACTGATTTATTCTCCTGCTTAAGCTGTCGTGATCCATGAGAGCCCTCACTGAGAAAATCATATGGCCAGCATCCTTCAAGCCCCCCTGGAGTGCAGTTTAGAACCAAGACATCGCTGCTTATACCACCCCTGACATCTTAATTTGGAAGCTGCACCCTCTTTAATTACTGCCCTGTTGGGGATCTTATAATCACCCCAGTAAAAACTCAACCAATTTAAAATGATCCCCAGTACAGCCCCCAGGTGTGATTTCCAGGAGTGCTTCCAACTCAGGCCAGTTCAAATTACAATGGCTAACCTCCTAATTAAGAAGAGTTATGGCTTGATTTAAAAAGGAGAGGGGACTAATTAACACATGTAGTGTAATGTCTTAATTGGGATTCAGATTCTAAAATTTGTGTGGTTCAGAATAAATGGCTCATAATTAGTTGAGAGGTCCACTTTTCTTCTGTCCCTAGGATCTTTGCTCTCGACACAGATCTCAGAAGGGTATTAAGTTAAATATTGCACGCTGCATTTTGTTAGCCGTCAAATGCAATCAAAACCCCTTTTTTCACCCATTAGCCCCCCCATCGGAAGGGAATGATTAGATGTTTCCAAAGGGTTTAATTGCAGAGTATTATAGCAGATTAAAAATAAGTAATATTAATATCCGTTTGTTGAAGAGTGAATTAGTTTACAACACTGGCCTGCGTGCTCTGCTGAGGGGTTTGATCAGGGAAGCAGAGATCCCCCTGGCAGCCCAACATTGCCGTCGGCATCTTCTGAAGCAGACTGCTATATTCACGAGAGCAAATATCATCTCACCCTATCAGCAATTCTGCAGAAGTACTTGAAGCTATTTTCGCACGAGAGCAGTAGTTTTACAGGCTGTCACCGTGTACGCAGGACAGGACTGGCCAGGCTCGGCTGAACCAAACCTTGGCGCTCAGATTAGACAACGCGGGATTGAAAAGTTTGCACCAAGAGAAGGTCTCACATGGGGAATCTGCAGGAAGACAGTAAGATGTATGTTTTATTGTTCCCAAGTTTAGAAGCCAAATTTTTGGCACCAGCGGTCTGCCTCGCTAGCATAAGTGATCCATCTTTATCCATCGACCTTTGGATGGCAAAGAACATGCATTTTTGCAAGAATTCCCTCCTCTTCTCTCTTTCTTCATCTTTTTTTTTTAAAAGATTTGTTTCTTTACCCCGCTTCAAACCTCCCTAATGCCTATTCTTTCTGCAATTTGCCTTCATAAAATTTGCCTAGCAGATACTGAAAAGGCAGCAACATGCTGGGGAGCTTCTGGCTCACTGATCCGAGGTAGCGCTTACTCTTAACGGCTATACCTCAACCAGCTAGACCTTACGGATAACATTTCAATATGCATGAGTGTGCATGTACGTAGGTACATCCACAGACACACGCATACTTGTACAGACAGTACATCTGCTCCGCAGAGACAGTGTGTTGTAGATCTTGTAAATACACCTTCATTCAACTTTCATCACATTGTTCATTAGTGGTTTAAATTTTGCATAATTTGGCAGCTGCCTCTGGCGTTTTTCAAGAGGTACTGTAATTTATTCCATATGGAAGTCAGTTGCTGTACTAAAAAGGAGTTATCAGGTTCAGTGAACCAGAGCTGTATTTGTCTAGAAGGAGGTGTCAGATGCTAAACTAAATATGACAGGAGTTAACCAAAGTCTCCCAGCTGACAGATTCTGTGGGGTTTCTGTAGTGTTTGGTATAAACAGGTTCAAAGCTAATAGATACATTGCAAGAAGCCGAGGATGCCGGCGGGGTAAGAAAAGCGCCGGAGGCTGAAGCTCTGGGTATCCCGAGGCATCCCCGGCTCCTCAGAGCCCAGGGTTCACAACACCCCTCCGATGTGCAAACAAACTTTGGGGTGGTTGTCCTACGCCAGACCCCAGTTCTGGTGAGGCACCGTACGACGTCTCTGCTTCAGAGAGCCCGTCAAGTCTCTCTGCTATCTGCACAGGGTGTTTCTGAGCTTTCCTCACTCATTTTGGGACATTTGGGGAATGCTGAGCTCTTCTAGTGACCGGTAGCTCTGTCTGCCGTCCTGTCCAGCCAGGCCACTGCTGTCCTCCTCAACCAGTGTCTCCTGCTCTTCGCTGTAGCCCCAGTGCCCCCTCCAGAGGACACGGCAGATGCAAACAGAGAGAGGCTGGGGGATTTTTGTGCTTGATTGACGTAATTATAGGAGCAGTTTCAGTGTTTACTCTGGAAACAGCCACAGCAGTTTAAGGTGTCACTGCTGGCAGCTGTTTAGTTTAAACAAACTTCAGCGAGGGTTTAGCCGGACGGAGAGACTTTGCAGTTCAGAGGAGGAAGAGCATCTGTAGGAAACGTCCTGCACACACCATCAGAAGGAGAATATCTTCAGCAAAACCCATGAACAGGAGGTCCAGGAGGGCCTCCTACCTCACACACGTTTCTGCAGTGAAAAACGTGGTTTAAGCTGAAAAAAACAACCTTCCAGCATGACAAAACCATGGGCTGAGTGCTGGCTATCGATCAAGAGAATACATTCTTCATGGTTAGACTGACTTAGCTAAGCCAGAGCCGCTCTCTAATGTTGATCCAGCCTGGGAATGCCCTAATTTTACAAGCTTTACAGGAAAACAGCCACGACAGCTGCTGCGTGAGGATGCTGACATGCTGCCGCAGCTCTGCCACAAGATCAGGATGGTGTGGAGATGAAGAAAGAGTAGAACCACTCCTCTTTCATGGACACAACTATTCTGCTCCCCGCTCCTCTCTTGGCTCTTGCCCACTGCCAACAGTTCCAGCTTTCTCTCTCCTCCATACACACTGCACAGTCGGCTCTAGGGCTTCCTCTTGTCTAGCCTGGAATTCATGAGCTCTTGGAGCCCATCCTCAGACCTTCTGCTGCACTTCAGACCCCCTGAGGTTGCTTGTACTGTGAGGCAGAGAAGAAGCTTTAGGATAAGGAGATAAGAAGAGCTTACGTTCTTCAATCTCTACTGCCAGCTCTTAGCTCAACATGTCCACAGCAGACATTGCAGGTGGACTGAGCTTCTCCACCACTTGTCCAGACCACATGAACCAAGTACCACTGGATTTGGGCTCTCCCACCACAGAGCTCAGCCTACGGGGGCACCTGAGGTTGCACTTACACACACACACCTGGATGGTCT